GGCCCTGCTCTGTGCGTGACAGGGTACGGAGCCCCAACCCCCCTGATGGGCCCTGCTCTGTGCGTGACAGGGGGTGGCGCCGCAACCTCCCCATCAACCCTGCCTTGAGTGTGACAGGGGGCGGTGCCCCAACCCCCCAATCGGCCCTGCTCTGAGCCCGACCAGGGGCTGCACCTAGGGATTGGGCCTGCCCTCTGCCACCCAGGAGCAGGCCTAAGCCAGCAGGTCGTTATCTCCTGAGGGGTCACAGGCCGGGCTGAGGGACCCTCCCTCCCCCCGCCGAGCGCACAAATTTTTGTGCACTGGGCCTCTAGTATATATATAAAAGGCTAATATCCTAAGTGTCCCTCCCTCCATCCGACCAGTCGCTATGATGTGCACTGACCACCAGGGGGCAGACGCTCAACGTAGGAGCTGCCGAGTTGCAGTGACTTGGCAGCAGTGATTCTCGGGTGACGTACCCTGACACCAGAGAGGAGGGAGCCCGATTCTTCGTGGGGCCACGCAATTCCAACTTTGGCCGTGGGTTATGTTGTTGCTGGGGCACTGTTTGCCCCGAGTCTGGTTTACTGCACACTTGCGTTTTCATTCCACACAGAAACTTTGCAGAGTGCCTTCTCGAACTCCAGGAGCCCTCGGGGGATGTTAGAGAGCCGGTTTCGGCCTGATCCCCATAGGCCAGGCTGAAGGACCCTACCAGCTGGAGGGACCCCACTCACTCCACGGACACCTTTTGAGCTACAGTGCAACCCCAGGTGCAGCCGGCCAGGAGGGACCACGGGAGATTGGCTCCAGGGCATGTCCAGCCCGTCTCACCCAGTCCCACCCCACCAGCAACCTTCTAATTAATTTCCTTTCAATGTACACAAATCCATGCACCGGGTCACTAGTAGTATAACGTATAGGCTTAGTGCAAGATGCCAAAAAGTTTGTGTTTCTTTTAGCCTAAAACACTGGGAACCTGCCAGGGTTCTTGTTCCAGCATTAAGAAAGGTTCAGGAAATCTGGAGAAGGCTGTGCGTAGATTAAATAGGAGACCAGAGATGAAATATAATTTTGAAAGGCATTTGGGGGTCAGAGGAGCCTAGTTTAAAGAAAACTAATATCTCCTCGTCTCAGGACCCCATGCTTATTAACACAAATTGTCCTGAGGTGAGGCAGAGATACACACTTCAAAAGGGTTTCATATACAGAGGCATTGTCAGAATGGGGAGAATTAGCCTACGGCTGTTCAGGTGTTTGGCCAGTAGGAGGCAATAACATGTAGATTAAGATGCTCTGAGCTGTCTGGCAGCAGACAATAAATTTAATGTATCCTATTCAGGTTTGGGGAAATGCCAACAACCATTCCCAGATTCAGCCCTGCTGTCATGCTGGAATTGGCTTCCGGCAGAACCCTTAGTGGACATGCATTGTTTTATCAGCCCCAAACCTTCCCTCTCTTGTTCTGTACAGACCTCCCAGCTCCCGCCACACTGTTCCAAGCACATCTGTCTACAGGCCCCTGGACAGCAAGAAGCACATTTACTCATGTTGAACCCAACACCTACTGTACAACATTCTGGTGTTCACAGGACAGCCATGTCTGACAAAAGAATGAACCAATTGACAGTGCCTTTGCTTCACTGGAAGTAATAATGCACAAGTTGGTAGAGGCAAGACTACTCATAAGCAGGTTACCCCAACCTTCCATCTCACCCCCATGCAGCCTCAACCAGCTCCCGGACCCAGAACCCCAGATCCCCACCACACAACATCTAAGGAGTAATGTCAGGCACTCTCAGACCCTGCTCCAGCATTCAAGGTGACAGGTTCTGGTTGGTCCATACTCACACCTGACTAACTTTAACATCCTCCTTCATGTATGCCAGTGAGAGGTGATGCCACCTCTCACACACACTTGTCACACAACTGGGCAAGAACAGATCTCCTCCGTTTTTCTTTGATGCCCCCCAGAAGTGTTCACTTGCACATGTGACATGGCCACCCCATTAGGACCACTGAGAATATGTATATCTAACAAAGGGTTAGGGCAGTGGTCAGCAAACTGCGGCTCGCGAGCCGCATGCGGCTCGCGAGCCGCATGCGGCTCGCGAGCCGCATGCGGCTCGCGAGCCGCATGCGGCTCGCGAGCCGCATGCGGCTCGCGAGCCGCATGCGGCTCGCGAGCCGCATGCGGCTCGCGAGCCGCATGCGGCTCGCGAGCTGCAGTTTGCCGACCACTGAGTTAGGGACAGTGCCAACAAACCCAAATCACCATTCTGTTGGCAAGTGAGGAGGGAAGGCAACTTAAACAGTGTCTGTCAACCTTCCTGCAAAGAAAATCTTTTTTCCATAGGTACCCAAAATTGATTCCAACTGCAAGCAACCAAGAACTGTACTTGATATTCAAGGGTGACAGAATATCAAATGGAGACTGGCAGAACAATGGATCAAGAGTCCCAAGCATGTTAGCACATGAGGGTTAACAGAATTCGCCAGAATTGTTTCAATGGAGGGTTGGGACAGGAGACCCATTGCAGAGAATTCATAAGTAATTTCAAGATAGAGACGGGCAAACATAGACTTCAACAGGAAGTAGGGGATTGGTTCATAGTCAAAGGCAGTTCTTTGTCTTGTTTTAAGATGCTAAATACCTGCACATAGAATGGGGAAAGTGAGTGATAACAGCAAAGCAGAAGTTAACAATCTAGGAAAGAGATGGAATAAAATGAAGACCTGAGAAGCGATGAGAAAAGGCAGTCAGGGGTCCCTGGCACATGCCTACACTGCTGGGACTATCTCCCTTTGCCCAGGCTGGCCCTCAGCCAAGGGTGCCATTCCCTGCATCTAACCTGGACCTCTCCTTCAGGAATCAGCTACAGGA